GCGCACGGCGCCCGCCCGCCGCGGGCTGGACACCACCCAGACGGGGCCCAAGTTCCTGGGGCTCCCCGTCCCTGCCGGGCTGTCCCTCGGCCTGGGGCTGGTGAGCCTGGTGGAGAACGTGCTCGTGGTGGCCGCCATCGCCAAGAACCGCAACCTGCACTCGCCCATGTACCGCCTCATCTGCTGCCTGGCCGTGTCCGACCTGCTGGTGAGTGTGAGCAACACGCTGGAGACGGCCGGCGTCCTGCTGCTGGAGGCGGGCGCCCTGGCGGCGCGGGGTGCGGCGGTGCAGCAGCTGGACAATGCCATCGACGTGCTCATCTGTGGCTCCAGGCTGTCCAGCCTCTGCTTCCTGGGCACCATCGCCGTGGACCGCTACATCTCCATCTTCTACGCGCTGCGCTACCACAGCATCGTCACGCTGCCCCGGACGCGGCGCGCCATCGCGGCCATCTGGGTGGCCAGCGTGCTCTGCAGCGCCCTCTTCATCACGTACTATGAGCACACAGCCGTGCTGCTGTGCCTCGTCGTCGTCTTCCTCGCCATGGTGCTGCTCATGGCTGTCCTGTACGTCCACATGCTGGCCCGCGCCTGCCAGCATGCCCAAGGCATCGCCCGGCTCCACAAGCGGCAGCGCCCAGCCCGCCAGGGCTTTGGCCTCAAGGGCACGGCCACCCTCACCATCCTGCTGGGCGTGTTCTTCCTCTGCTGGGGGCCCTTGTTCCTGCACCTCACGCTTCTCCTCCTCTGCCCCCAGCACCCCACCTGCGGCTGTGTCTTCAAGAACTTCGACCTCTTCCTCGCCCTCATCATCTGCAACTCCATCGTGGACCCCCTCATCTATGCCTTCCGCAGCCAGGAGCTCCGGAAGACCCTCAAGGAGGTGCTGCTGTGCTCCTGGTGAGGGCTAGTTCCTGAGCCCAGAGCCCCCCAGGACAGACGAGGGTCCGGGCAGGACTCAGCAGCTGTGAGGGCCGGGGGAGCCTGGGGAGGCGGGGCCTGGCCAGGTGCAGACCCTAGGCTCCTGGAGGACACTGCCTGCTCCTGCAGAGCCCCACCTCCACTGGGGACTGGGCAACGTCCACCCCGCTGCGACATCTCTGCTGCAAACTATTGGGACTTGTGCCCTTATACGCTGGGACACGTCTCTGGTTGGGAAGAGTGACAGGAGCCACCGAGGAAGGCTGTTCTCAGCAAGGGCCCAAGAGTGTGAGCAGAGAGGTCTGCCCACAGTCATGCAGCGGCCTCTTCAGAAGGGAACTCGCTGCCTCTGGCAGGTCTGACCAGCGAGGACGGAGCGGATGGTGACTCAGGGTCAGTGCTCGACACAGTGGTGACCAGCTTGCCGGGGGCTCAGCCAATGTGTCTGCACCACCCCCAGACTGACAGCCCCGGCAGGTGCCTGCTGTGGGAGTCAGACCAGCCCCTGCGGACTCACGGTCGGAAAAGTCTGCTAATAAAGGCTGTGGTTCTTCCAGAATTTGCTCCAAGTTTTAGGTCGGGGGAGTCTGGGAGGGCAGAGGGCAGGGATGGGAGCCTGGGGAGGGTGTGGGAGGAGGTGGTCACAAAGACCGTATTGGCCTGCCCTGCTCCAGGCCCCAGGAGCCCAGGAGAAAGTGTGGAGACCCCCTTGGCTCTCTCTGCCATCACTAGCCCAGCCTGCCTCCGGCAGCCACTCCACGGTGACAAGACACGAGCCCTGTCCCAGCGGCCTTCAGTGCAGCTGGCACCAAG